TAGAACATTTCACTCACAGAAGCGTCGTGTTGAACGACTTACTGAACAATTTCAAAAACAGTTTTTCTGGGTCCTATCAACTTACCCTATGGAAGGACCAAATAGACCCGAGTGGGTCGTGTGTGTCATTCCACCATGTTCGACAGAAGTTCAGTGTGCAGTTTAATTGCTTCAACGCAACAAACTACTTGGTCCAGACAGTTGGAATCTTGCTCTCTGCAAAGCTGGTTCGTCTGCCATGGCGAACCTGACGACTGAACTTCAAAGTATCTGAGGTGAGGAAAGAATGCTCGATGAGTAGACCGTTTAGGTTGTGATTCCTATATTCAAAGGTGGTGAAGGGAATTCGCGGGAAAACAGCCTGGGCGTCAGTTTAGTGGGCGGGATGGCTCAGTGGTTAGAGCGTGAATTTAATGACTGTTCCACATAACTACCACACCTTTTTATTTTTTTTTCACACTCCGCAAAGTACATACTTATTCCAAGGCGAGGAGAATGTCATGAATACATAAACCATACCTTTGCATAGACCATTAACTCGTAATTCTCACTATACTTTCAGCTCAAGTAATACCGTCATTAGACGATTAAAACGTACATTACGCCCTTCTATTGTGCCTTCTTTCTAATCTCGTCCTGGGACTACTCGGCTCTTGCAACAGAGCCCCCTACAGCCTGGGAGGTTTACGAATGTACATGTTCTCAAATGCCACCGGGCTCCTGTTCCGGATGACCTCCACTCTGCATTTTTCAAAGACGGGGGTGAACTCCTCAGCCGGCTTTTGTCTGATCTGTTTGCATGCATTTGGGAGGAGTCTCCCAAATGTGATAGTGCCATTTCGAGAAAAGGGGATCGTAGTGAGTGTGATAACCACAGGGGGGATCAGCCTGACCCCGGTCTTAACGAGACTTGTCACCTGTGCTTTATCGCTTTACGGTGGCTCGCGAGACTCTGACTCGAGAGCAGCAAGCGGGATTCCGGCCTGGTAGGAGTTGCGTCGACCAAATCTCCATACTTCGTCAGGTGCAAGAACAACGCCATACGTACAAGCGACCCACAATTCTAGTGTTCCTGGATTTCCAGGACGCATTTGACTCGGTTGCCCGGTCTGTTCTTGACATGCTTGCCTACCAAGGAATGCCCCGGAAGTTTGTGGACATAATAGGTTCTCTGTATTCTCAGACTTCCGGACGTGTGAGAGTATACGGCAAGCTCCGTCACTAAGAGACTGGACCTTACCTTGGTGTGACGGTTGGCGCACGTCATCGACCCATTGAGCTATACTGGGAGGCGTCCCCTCGACACTCATAGTTCTGCGGTCCAACCTGCCGTGCTATGTGGGTTGGAGACGTGGCCACTGCGCGTGGAAGACTTCTGAACGCTCCGTGTTTGACCATCAGTGTGTGGGTCTGATTGGAATACCAGGTCGGTAATGTTGAGGTACGCCAGGCTGTTTTCGGTAGAGGTCACTCCCACTCGATGGATCTGCGGGTCACACTCCACAGTTTAGACGGGGAGAGACACTGGAATTTGTGGAGCGTTTTACGTACCTTGGAATTTGTATGAGTTGCGAATGTGGTGTGACAGGAGCGAGAACGAATTTACTGATAGGAAGTTGCGTGGTTTGACCCCTGCCTCTGCCTCTCGACTCCCCCTGTGTAGGTTTGGGCAACATGGCAGTATCCCAGCCCTGATGCTTCCTTCGGGCGGTATGGCGATTAGGCACCGTAAGGGCGTTACACTTGTAGTGTGGCGGATGAGGTCGATACACAATCTGCAAGGCTGGAGTCGTGTTTCTTGATTTGAGACACCTATGGCGTCCAATTGATGTATCTCTTAATCTCAGGGGACGTGTGTATCAGACTACAGTGTGTGCTGTTTTGTGGTGTGGCTGTTCAATCAAGCTGAATGCCTCGCGGCATAAAAAGCGGTGCCTGTTTGTCGTATCGGCTTATGCCCCGACGGACTGCAGTTCTGATGCGGAGAAGGATACTTTCTATCGAGAGCTATCCAGGCTCATTCGTCAGGCAAAAAGCACTGACATTGTGATCCTTGCAGGCGATTTGAATGCTCAAGTAGGTCG